GTTGGTAGTAGGATTAGGAGGATACATACATTGCTGGTTTGGCTCTGCACATGGGATTAGGTAAAGAAAAAAAAGACCTCACCTAACCTTTACTAATGTTGCTATTGCAATTTTCAGAATTGTTCAATATAACTGTTGTACTTGACAGGGTTGCCTCATGAGGACTGCATACGGCACACTCTTTGCTATTTTGATCCGAGGCTGCTGTTTGACACGAATGCGCTTGTTGTGTGATTTTGGTTAAGGAAACGTAGTACATGCCACATTACGCTGTCATCATCTGCAGTGATCCATGCTCTCCCTGCATCTGGCAGACATGACTCACGTTGGGCTCAGATGCAGCACAGGAAGTACATCTCTCCGCGAGCAACTCTCAGTAACTGCATTAAGTACATTTATCCAAGTGCTGTCCTCAGGCTACACTTCCGAGGAGTACTATAAGTGAGGAGCTCACTTATAATGAGGAGCTTTATTCAATGCAACTCATGGAAGTACTTTTTTTACCCTATGCAAAATGATCTCACATCTCAAGTGGATACAAGAGGTTTCAGGTCATCAATATGCTCTGAAAAGAAACTACTAGCAGTGCATGGATGCCTTTACTTACTTTAGATACGAATGTACATGTTGTACATTCGTATCTAAAGTACATGTCTGCGGTTACCGCAGATCACCACCCTTTTATTTCGATTGCAGGTATTATTTGACTAAAGAAGTCAAAACTATTTGGCACTGGGTTACTTTAGTCGATACCTTAAAGGTAGCGAGTACGGAGGCCAGGCCTACCCATGAGAAAAATAAAAAGAGAAAAAAAGATGCCAGAAAGAGAAGGAACAGAACTTTACAGTGCCCCTAAAATCCCCAAACGTCCTTTGCAGTCTATGACGTTGAGAAGCAGTGTTCATCTCGTTCATACAGGAGCTCCTTCATCTCACACATTTACCCAAGCTGCCTTTTTTTTTTTTTTTTAAAGAGTGACTGATTCTCCGGAGAGCAGCTGCCAAGGTCAGACCTGCAGCCCGCTCCATCCATTGTTGTCAGCCGTCCACACCCGTGCAGCTACATACACACACACACATACAGACACTCCAGCCCCCAAGTAAGTGTTAGACCATGTTAGCTTGTAATGAGAAGCGACATAAATCAGCTCAGCCTCATCTCTCATCAGTCCTTGGTCTAGATTAACCGGTGTAGCCAGGCAAACAGTTTCTGCTCAGAGTGTGTGGGGGGCTCTTAAACTAGTCAGAAAACTGTGATAAAGACAGAAGATTACCTGGTGAATTTACAAAACAGGAGGACAAGGTAGAGAAGAGGAATAAGTAGAAAAAGATTAATCTCCAAAAAGCATACATATGTACAGAAATCATGTGGCAGAAAGATTCCATGGATGCAAGCCGAGGCAACTAGGCTGTAGCATGTTACACACACATCACTTGTCAATGTCCTGCTTTAATCCAGGGTCTCATGAAGGCCACTGGGTGAAACATTTTCAGGGGAGATTTCTGATAGTGGAACCTTCATTCATGATACTTAGTATGACACATTTTGTAGGCTTTCAACCACACCTCATTAAAGTGAAATGTGGTTGAAAGCTCAGAACAGCTAGTGATTGGACCCTTGAGCTTAGATGGAGCTTATCTGGATTGAACAAGAGGCTCTCTGTTCGCCATCTGCAGGGTGGAACAGGTCTTCTTCTGATTGACTGAGTGTCAACATCACCTCTTCCCACTACAGACAGTTTTAACCTCATGCCTCTGAGTACTGTGTTATTGATATTTCCGGACCCTGGTTTGTAGTAACTGTGTATACAGTGATGAGAATATCAGCCCAGTGGCCAGGAAACAATTTTGACATTGTACATTTCTGCAAAGCATGGAAACGTTGAAGGTCAATGTTTTTCTATCTGGTCAGAGCAAGTGAAGTCATACATCGAGGGACCATTGTGGAAAGTAAAGCATCTGGTCAAACAAACGGAGAACTTTCACCCAGACTGCAGTTCATGTCCCGTGTGAATCCAAAAGTAAATGTTGACTTTGCGCTTGTTACGTAATGTTGTTACGCAACGTAAGGGAGGTTGTCAAATATTCATACCACTTACGTTTGTTACTGTAAGTTATTACATAATTATTTGATCTGAACCGTAACCAAATTGTGTTAACTTAAAGCGTGATATGAAGCTGATGAAACATATTTATGAAACTTATTTGATGGTTCGACATTCAACGTATCTTTGGTTGGAAAAGGGCCAGTTGACCTTGCATGTCATATAACCTCAATCAGCATCTTTGGGTTGCCAGTCTGCAGACTACGGTCATAACATAATTGTGTTGTATTCATTTGAAAAGACATAACAAGCTTGGGTTTGATTTAAGAGTCTTTGGGTATTTTGAAAAGCGCTATATAAAAGTGATTTATTATTATTCTGCAAGTGCAATTAAAAACTGGCAGAGCTTCAGTGATGAAAATAAAGGCAGACTGTGTACTTGAGGCAAACTGCAGCATGATACAGCCAAACCCACAACACCCTAAATGACTGCAGCAGTATCCGTGCCCACGCATGACACCCATGTACCCAGCTGCTTTCATATTTTACACTCCCAGAGACCAGATGCTGCTAGCAGTCGATTGCCTCCTTCTCACCTCCCACAGAGCTCTTTCTACAGGTGGCCGTCGTCCAGACACACACGTCCTCGCGGCTCTGCTCATTAACAGAACCCCAGGCCCACCCGGGGCTTTGGGCGCCGTGTTCATCAGGGTGCTGCACACAGCAGACATCTGGAATGGGAGCTCCCTGCACTACTGCACCCAGTGACTCGCACTGATCCCTCTGTCAGACTGGGAGAAGCAAAACAAATGGTGAATTTTTAATTCGAGCCGTCCAATTTCATACGCAGCTGTTTTGGAAGTCACTCCGGAAGAAAGTTACGGCTGATGTTTGTTTGCAAGTTGCTGAGGCGGCATGATGAGCAGTCAGCGTCAGCAGTTTGTGGATTGCCGATCTTTTGTGGAGTGCAGAATAAAGCATGAATAGATTTTAAAACAAAGTTAAAGGAAATTGCTCTTACCATCTTCTCACATTTGCAGCGCTGTGGGTTTATTGAACGGCTATAAGAATATAAGAAGCTTAGCGAGGCAGATGCTTAATAATGTGGGACTATTAATTTGACTTTTATTGCTGTTTTTCTCCAACACATCCAGAGTGTCCACACTGCATCAAAATACACACTGCACGCTGTAAACTGAGTTTTACAATTTTAGAAATCTCAGCTCAGTTATTGAGACACAGGTATTGATCAAACACTCCCACAATTATGCAGAATGTATACTGCGATATTGATCCTCTTGGCTAAATCATAGATGAGATCACACACTGAGTGGCCCAGCGCAATCTCACTTATGCAACTGTGGAATATTAGCAATCACTTCGAACTTTGAGAAGTTATTGTTGAAAGTTGCGTTTTATAATAAGGTGTATAACAAGTGAGAAAGTCCACTAAGGCTTAGGTGGGAGATGTGGTGTGTGGGTCAAACACGTACAGGACTTTCACCGTTGTTTGTGTCCCGTGTGAGTAGTGAGTTTGAGTGTTATGTAACGTTAAGTAAGAGTCTGCTCAGGGTGGTTGTGATTTATTTATGTTAGTCACATTGTTACGTTAACATGGCATTGTGAGTTTCTGCTATTCAACCAACTCTGTGGTTTGCAGAAAGGTAAAACACCGACATGTGTCTGGATTAACCAGCTATGGAGCCCCAGGGAAAAATGAAGCTGTGGGTCCTTGTTGACCTCCTTTGTTAGTCAGCAATATCTCAGATTGGATTCAAGATGATACATTTATAACAGAAGGCCTGAGTGAGATTCCCACACTGTAAACCCGAACGTCCAAAGTATTCAAATAGATTAAGTAGTGTATACTCAAAGTTTTAAAAAAAGTTCGAACCTAATTATGTCAAGTTGGTGTAACATGTTCTTCCTTTTGAGTAATTTTAACTAATAATTTTTGATTAAATGGTTAGCTAACGAACGTAGGTTAGCGCTAGCTAACGTTACTTGAAGGTGCATCTCTGAACAGCCGAGGAGCACTAAATTAGCTTGTTTGACTGAGAAAAAGGCGGCTAACGAACGTACGCTAGCTAACGTTACTTAACGGTGCATCTTAAAACTGCAGTCTTCTTTTCAGTGAAACAAGCTAGTTAAGTCAAATACTGGCCTCCCGCGCTTCTCGGCTGGTCCAGGAGTAGCGCCCGGAGTTTCTGCATCAAACTTGCCGTCACTCGCGTCTCTGTGGCATTTCTTTTGTTTTATTGCACGTCATTCTGTTCATTCATTTTTGTGTAAACCTGGAATTTCTTCACAGTTGCAGATAAAGATTAGGCTACACTATTGTTCTGAGCTAACGCCACCAAACTTCAGACAACAGGTTTTGTCAAGCTAAGTAAGTTATTCAAGACATGTATACCGTGGCAAATAAAATAGCACGTTATTGTTAGACCCTGCATGGTAAATACTAAATAGCTAGTAATTTACGGTGGTGTTATTGAGACTTGCATGTAAGCTGCATAAATGAAATGTTCAGATATGCCACCAACAAATTATTTATTGACAACTATGTTTATGTCAGTGCATTATACCAGTGGTTCCTAACCTGGGTGTCAGGACATCACAGGTTGTTGCATGGGAATCACACGTGTTGTGGGAAGAGTGCCTAAGTAAGAAATATCAAAGAACTGCACAGAAAAATATTGTTTGAAGAAAAAAAAAAGACAAACTGTGATGAATAATAATTGGAATATGGCATAGCATTTGCATCAATCTAAAGCAATATATTGCTCATCTTCTATTTGCCTGTTTGATCAAAATAAAACGTTTTGCCGTATTCAAGTCAACGATTCATGAATGTGTTATGTTCATATATACCATCTTTTCTGTTTTAAAAGTTTTAGATGGTGGTCTAAACTTTGTTATTTTTTTCTTTGCCTTTTAGGTTGCTGGTTCCAAAATGATCTGGAAGTGTAAGTTGTGCGCAGCTTCTTTCACCTCCAGAATACAGTTATTTAGACACTAGGCTGCAGCACAGCCACTATTCCAGAATCAGCCCTCTTCCATGCCTCTACACTAATTGCATTTGCACATTTCAGATGAGACAGGCTGGATGTCAGGAGGTCACTGTTAATGCTGGAAAAAGAAGTAGAAGAAATCATGAAAATGAATCTTCACATTCCAACATTAAAAGACCCAGGCGGGCAGAAGTCAACTTCCTACCCAACTTTCCCCAAGGAAAGGATCCTTCAAGCCTTGAGCAGTTGAGGCAGACAATTGTTGAAGAAGTCAAGAAGACTGAGAAGAACCCTGCCCTTCATTAGAAAGATGATGGAGACCACATTTCCCCTACGCCGACAGACCATAGTGATGTCCTGCCCACCAGTGAACGAGCTCATGGACCTCTGGCCTGCTCTCAAAATAGAGTCTGAGGTAATATGGATCAGCTCTCTCTTTTTAAGTGAAAATTGTGATTCTTACTCATTTGGCTGCTATTTTCTGCTTTATAAATGTGTGCTAGATTCTTCAAATTGAACTGTTTTTTTTAAGTGTTGCTGTATTCTCCTCCTGCTGTTATTTCAATGTAGTTGTATGCAGAGTTCCAGCGGATTACGAATCAGAACCTGCCCAACACATTCTATTTCTGAGCTTGATCGTCATCTTCCTCAACTGATGACCTTATTCAGACAGAAGGCCTCAAAACTGGGAAGACAGCAGATGCTCTGGCTGAAATTTTAAAAATCCACGATGAACAGGTAAATAGATTATTCCACACTTCATAGGTTGAACCGGTGGAACTTCGAACAGGTTCAATGAGCTTTGTGAATTTTGCAATTAGTCCACTTTTTGTTTGCCATTTGTCTGATAGCATTAAAGATGTGAACAGGTTATTTGTGGACATATGTTCTGATTGGACTGTTTATAATCAGCTTTGTTCAGTAAACCCTTCAGTATGTACAATTCTATTTTTATCTGAATAGGAAATCCATGACATCCACACCAAGCGCACTACTGTTCTCCACGCCCTTCCTGTGTATCTGCACGAGGACGTTTCTGGATTTTTCAGAACCTGCACAATGAGTCTCCTTAAGTCACTAACAGATTCTACTGTGTATTATGTAAACAGTTCATCAAAATACTAATATCTTTTAGGACTTACCTTTGTTTAGTCTACCCATACAGTTTATGTATGGTCTGTTTTATTTCTCCTCACTACAAAGGAACTGTATTGGCAAATGATAAGATGTTCATTAAAACATTTTCCTGTAAATGTCCTTTAGCGTGGTTTCAGTCTATCTCACACCACTTAGATTCTCTGATTCGTGTGTGCAGAACATGGATCTTATGTTTTTCACCTCTTACAATGAGACCCAGGTCGCCCTTGTAAAAGAGGTATTGGTTTTCAATTGGACTTGGTTAAAGAAAGATACATTATATGTCATCTGTTCTGTTCCATGTGTTAGTTTGTGATTAGTATCTCTTTTTCATTCATTCAGGACGAGTCTGATGAGCCAGAGCTTGATGGTGTTGCAGTGGGCCTCCTTACTGTCATCAGTGACCATGACCCTGTGAGAATCTCTGTCGTCATTGACACTGTCAGGTTTACTACCACTTCTACTACTTCCATTACTACTGTTCATATTGAGTTAGTTAAACTCAATATAATTGAGGCAATCAATTGCCTCGAAAATGTTAAGTTTCGAGTCACATCTTTTTAAGAAAACAAATTCAACATGTTTGACTAATGTGTACTTAAAACAATGAAAACAAACTAATAAACATTGAGTTTGGTTAATATGAAATGATGTGGTTGTGTACTTATTTTTTAAAGTTCTGTGAACTTATTCTAGTGGTTTGAAAACTTGAAATTTTAAGTCATAATAACTGAGAATAATTGAGTTGAGCTAAATGAGCACTTTAATTTAACTGTTATCAAAAGGTACAAGTAGCAAGTCATCCAAGCTTTTAAGTTCTGGAAAATTAAAAAAAAGTTCTGGAGAACTCAAAAAAATTGAGGTAATCGATTGCCTCAATTCTTTTGAGTTCTGGTAACTTATTCGGGTTTACAGTGCAATAGCCACATTAACAGGAAATATAACAGGTTGAAATTAACTGGAAGTATCCTTTTGCCAACTGTAGAAATCCAAAATGCTTCTCTAAATTGCCCCTTTTCTTTGACAAAGATCCCCCCTCAATACCAAATGCTTTGCCATGGTAATCACATCACATATGCATCATGTTTTAAGGTTTTTTTTACGCTTTGTGCCGGCGTTCTGCTCACCCTGTCGGGATTCATTTCACAATAAAGACATATTATCCCTTACTTATGAGTTATTCACAGACGGAGAGTGCTGTCTGCTGTGTGTAGAGGGTGTGTGTGTGTGTGTGTGTGTGCCGGCGCAGGAGATCGTCTCAACAAAGCCAGGTCGTTTATTTCATATGTTGGGATAGGCTGCAGACTATTTATTTATTCATTGGTTTTGAGGCCTACGTATGAGCACATTCTTTTTATGGGCTATTGCTGCAATTTATTTGATGTGATTATTGCACATTTTGTAGCTGTTTCATTAAAAAGGAAAATCCTTTAAGTGAAATTGTTGTCCTCATTTCTCATTAGACAATAGCAAAGCAAAGTACATTATAAGTAAATAATGACCGAAAGGGAAAACACTGGCTGATTCATGAAATGTGCTCTGTCACGCCCGAGGGGCAGATCGGAGACTCAAACGCAGACACAGGAGACGAGATGAAGTTTAAACTTAGGAATCTTTACTGGTCAAAAATATCATAAACAAACTTAAAGGGACTCCAACGGAGCGGGGAAAAAGATCCAAAAACACAAAAGAAAGGCAAAGGGATGAATCAGGAGCAAACGCTAGAGCACCGAGCAAACACGAGGGGGACAAAATACTGGGACAGACAGGGGAACGAACGAGGACGATCTGACAACCAGAACAGGGAAAGCAGGGGAGTATATATGTGTGGGGTGATGAGGAGATTGAAGGCAGCTGGGTGGACTGGGCAGGTGAGTAGGATGAGTGCAATCAGGGGACACAGACACAGAGACAGGAACACAGGAACACAGGGGGCAAAGCCTAAACCGTGACACTATCCCTTTCTATTATACATTTATGCTGCACTATTCTCCATTCTCCATAATGACCATGCTAACACGTACTTAACCCTGAGTTGTGTTTTAAACACAGCAATTAAAACCAAACAGCCACATGGAACTTCTTTCAACAACATCATCCCTTTCCTGTTTGGACAAACCAATGATTGCTCTCTTTAACGGCATTAATCATGCATTAATGTCATTTCCTTTTAGGTGCCTCTGGAGTAAACTCTTCTATGTTAAACTGCATATATAATCAAAGACTCATGAATACGCATGGGGCTTTCTGATTATACCTCTGAAGATGTAAACAGGTATAATTAACGCTGTGATTATCAACTTTAGAGGAATTAATTACTTTTGATGTGTGAACATCTCAAGGAGCTCCCCCTCAGTTTAAGAGCTTCTTAAGAAACTCAATGAAGCCACATCCTGCGCGTCACGACCGAGCCGCACAGATCTGTGTGCAGCTCCCTGTTAGAGTGGATAACGTGATTAAGTGGCGCTTCGCTGGCACAAAAGAAAAGCATTTAATTATTGAAGTGATGGTCAGTGCTTTCATTAGAAATCGCATCAGTCACTATCATTGATCAATACTAAACTGGCTGTCTGTGGGAAGTCCTGCTTCATTTAAATGCGACATTTTAACGAGATGTAACATATGTACTGTTGTCATAGTTATCATTTGTTGTAACTTGCATTAGCTAACAGAAACAGGAATGTTACAAGGTAACAAGGTGATTTTACTGTCATTGTACAACAGGGTGTACACAGCATGTGATTGGCCCCAGTGAAGGGTTCTTTCTTGGGCCCTCTCCCACACACACATGCCCGGATACACACAACCACTCCAGACGATTGCAAAGCAGACCATCACTATGCCGCAGTGGAAAGGTTCACCGTGCAACTCTCACCCTGAAAACCAGCCTTTGATCAGCACCACGGACAGCAGCCTGAGAACCAAATGTATCACCGCTAACTTAAAGGGATAGGTTACTTGAAGTGTGGTTGTATGAGCTACTTCTCCATAGTTGGTGTGTTACTACAGTTATATATACTTGGATAGATAGCTATTAGAAGGAGAAACAGACAGGAGTACCAGCACGGGAACAAAGCAGTATACTGCTGTGGATGGGGACAGCAGCAAAACTTAATGTAGACGTCGAGAAATATCGGTCAGTTTAAGTTTACGCTTTAGTTAGAATATTTTCAATGCTTTACATTGACTTCAATTATGAGAAATAAATCTACTTATTTGGAGATTACTGGATTCTGACATGTTTCTCCTAAACCCCCTCAGGAGAAAAAAGAGAAGAAAAGAATAAATCAATCGAAGACAAATTACCTTGTCCAGTTTAAAACTGTATAAACACAACAACCTCAAGCTGTGTGTCCATGTAGCATTTTTTTTTTTCTCTTGCAGAACAGCACTGGCAGGGTGCTGGACACTGCAGCGTCTTTCTGAATATTAAAGGATTTTAACTGTAAGCATTGCTCTCTCCTCATTGAAAGCAATTGATTGCTATAAGGACATCCATGTTCATGGGTCAAACAATACACAAATAAGAAAAAGCATGCATGAATCAGATCAGATTAGTTCACATGTAATAATATGGAGAATATTTGAGAAAAAAAGTGTTGTGTGACACAATAGCAAAAAGACTGGATCAAGTAAAAGGTAAAGAAAAATGTTTTATTATTTCATCAGCTCTTTTCTATAATGTGACACTTATGATAACAATCTGAGCCTTTCAGATGTAAAAACAGGTACGTTTAGTGGACGTACATTGAGGAAGAGGAGAAGCCTTTTTCATTGCAGCTCATTTTGTTGCTGCCGGCTGCAATCACTTAGATACAAAAAACATGGGAAAATAGAGTCCAGATTGAAAAATGTACCCTTTAACACAGTCTGCAATGTGAGCTGCTGCTCTTGCTGCATTCCCAGTGGGAGGGACATAAACAGCACAAACAACATCGCTACCAAAATCCCTCGGAAGGTGTTGAGGTCTTTTGTATGAGCTTGAGACTCAAGCTCATACAAAAGACCTCAACATCGGGGCAGCAGAATGTTTCCAGCTGTTGTTATTCACACACCTAGGCATGCTGCTATCTCTGTTTTTCACCCACAGTTTGTTTCTGTCCGCTCCGGCGAAAGAGAACCCCTCGATTCCAAGCAGGGAGTTGTGGATGTCCTGGTGTTTCCAGTGAACACCATCATGCTTGCGTTGTGGTACTCAAAACATCCCTTGGACTCATGCTGAATTCACAAGTTTTGGTTTATCACAACACAAGATACACTGCAAGTCAAATGTTCTCATCAATTTCTCCGTACTTGATCAAATCTGAGTTTTCATCATGTTTGCGTTCTGTACACGCATCTACGACACATCTGTCTATAGGAGAGGGATTCCTCCTCTTCCTGGACTTTTCCCTTTTCTGATTGGAGGGTCTAAGGACAGAGGGTGCTGGGTGCTGTACTGATTGTAAAGCCTATTGAGGCAAATGAGTGATATTGGGCTTTATGGACGGACATTTCCAAATGCAAAGTGATATTGGGAAGATATATCATTTAAAAAAAGATATAAGTGAAAGTAGGAATGCTATTTTCCAGACTCCTTTCCACGAAAACTGACTGTGTCGAAGGTTATGAGGTTGCAACTTGGTGAAATCCAAGGAAGTAAACAGCCTGGCTTGTGCATTCGTCAAATGTTTGCGCATGCTGTCCAGCGGAAACAGCTCTCACCAGCCGGCAGGCACAGAAGCAAAAGCTCTAACTCTGTCATGACCATGAGGTGAGAGCTTACTGGCACTCGGTACATCAGGGTCAAATGGAAAGATGCACCATAATATTTATATAAAAATAACATGTTGGTGGAGTAAATGCACTTTCTCTGAGCAATAAAAGCCTCTAACAGAATGGAACTCCTTCAGTTAAGGACAAACTTAAGTTGAAACTCTGGAGGCATGCACCGCTGAGGATAAACTTAGTTCTTCACAGTTTTGAGATGTTCAATCACTTGAGCATGAGGACTTGTTCCAGCCAAACAAAGCTGATTTTGTGGCAAAACCTCGAGTGGCCCCTTGAAGGTTACCGCTAATTGGTACTATTTATCAACACACTCAAGCCAATAGTGACAAGTACATGCTCTTTTCCCTGTTTCTCATTACCGCTATCTATAATGAGGTGAGAATGTATCTTTAAATTTACATACAAGGGCAGTCTGCGAAAGAGGAAGCTGGGATTTCAGAGAGTCGGTCAGTAATGAATAATTTGCCGCTCTTTGTAGAATTTTTCCACGCAGGACGAAGGTGGATTGAGGTGATAGTGACTCCTGCCAAACAAATTGCTGCTGTCAATAGGCCAATCCTTCTGGGATTCCAGGAAATAAGGTGTTTGGTTGCAAGGATAAAAATTCTCAAAAGAAATTCCACATCAAAATCACATAAATACACATCATTAAACAAATAGATATTTGAATAAATAAAAACAGAATCAT